GGTGATAAAAAGGGGCAGGGAGATACAGAGAGAGAGGGAGAGAGAGATCTTCCATCTGCTGGTTCATTCACCAAATACTTTTAACAGCTAAGAGTAGGCCAAGCCAAAGCTAGGAGCCATGAACTCCAACCAGGTCTCCCACATGAGTGGTAGGGATCCAAGCACATGATGGACCAGGCATATTAGCACAAAGCTGGATCTGAAGGGAGAAATAGCTGGGACTCAAACCAGGCACTCCAATAAGGATGCAGTGGTCCCAAGTAGTGGCTTACCCCACTCGACCACAAACCCTGCCTCAAGAATTCAGTTTTCTAACAACTCCTGAAGTGATGCTGATGCTTCCAATCTGAGGATCATAGTTTGAGAATCACTAGTATAGTCAAATGGAAGAATATAGGCTTTAGAACTACTCATACCTGAATTTCAATCTTGTTCCTGTCCAAATCATTTAATTCCTCTGAGATTATCTGAGACTTTGCTATGTTTTGAGGAATACTCTCAAATACAGTGCCTGACAGAAAATAACCGTCTAAAAGATAGTAATTACTATCAATATTTACTTTTGGCATAGCCTTAGGTTATTGCAATAAGATAACTTTCAATTTAATTACTCAATTTAATTTATTCATGTCAAATTAATAATTAATAAAAAGGTAGGAATCTCTCCCAATATCCTCTTAAACACACAGGAAAGATGAATCTTCAAATTATTTTCATTGACATAAGGATGGGTCTTATCAAATTGTGTTTGCACTCCCCCCATTTCTAGTCAAAGCAATCTGTAACAAGGGATAACATAGGCAAAAAATAAAATATTATGACAGACTGTTAGACTGCTTCACTTTTCCACATCTGAATCTCCTATACTACATTATTTTGATCTTAATAGTACACTACCAGGGAATCATAAAACATCTTTATATGGAGAACTACTATATAGAAGAACTACTAACTACCATAGATCCATTATGTAGTTTATTGTAAAAGCTGTTTTGGGGGGCCACAAATGTGGCATAGTGTGTGAACTCACTGCTTGTGATGCTGTCACCCCATATGGATGCTAGTTACTGTGCTGGCTGCTTCACTTCTGATCCAGCTCCCCACTAATGGCCTGGGAAAAACAGCAGAACATGGTCCACATGTTTGGGCCCCTACTGGCCATGTGAGAGACCAGATGAAGCTCCTGCATTGTGAATATCTGGGCAGTAAACCGGTGGATGGAAGACATCTCACTCTGTCTCTCACTCTCTCTCTGCAACTCTGACTTACAAAATAAATATATAAATATTTTAAAAATGTATTTACTTTCAAGCTACACCAAAAAACAATAGTAACGGTGGGACATGACGGTAGGGGGTAGGTTAGAAATTTAATCTCTATTTAAGTTGGCAAAGGATAGAATGGAACCTTTAAGAAAAGTTTTGATTTAATTATAAAATTATTCCTATATGAATTATAGTATGATCAATGTAATCGATCATTTATTCTGACAGTCATTTTGTACAGAAGAATAAAACTACTTCTTCATTTATGTCAGAGTGGAGGGTTTTTTTTTAAGATTTATTTATTTATTTGAAAGGAAGTTACAGAGAGAAAGATATTCCATATGCTGGTTCACTCCCCAAATAGCCACAACAGCCACAGCTAGACCAGGCCAAAGTCAGGAGCCAGGGGCCCAAGTAGTTGGGTTTTCATTCACTGCCCTCCAATGCACATTACCAGGAAGCTGGATTGGAAATAAAATATCCATGACTGGAACTGGCACTCTGATATGGGATGCTAGCATAACAAATGACAGCTTAAACCACTGTACCACAATGCGAGCCCCAAACAAGCTATCTTTACCATAAATCAGAAACTGTTCTAAATCCTGTGCACATATTTACTAATTTAATTCACTTAGTATGTGCTTTTATTAGCTCCATTTTATAGATGAGAAACTTGATACAGGGTTACATAGAAAATAAGTAGCTAAATGGAATTGGGGCCTTCATAGTATAGTTCCAGGGTAATTGTACTTAATTACGTTATATTACTTCTCTGAAAAGGACTGATCTTGATTTTGGTTTTAATTTCCATAATATGTTATTAGCATCTCTTATACTACTTATCATATCCTGTCTGTTTTGCAATATTCATTTGACCTTTGCAAAATCATGGGTTATAGTTGGTTCTGAAATGCGATAATCAAAGTTTTGATCTCTAATATCTTTAACACTGTTACCTTGAGTGATTCGCTTAGTTTTTCTCTGTCTTAATGTTCTTATTTGCAAAGAGAAGGATTGGTTTGTCATCTCCATTGTCTTTCAGCTCTTAAATTCAGGATCACATGCTCATATAAATATATATTATCCCTTGGCACTTTCTGTGGGCCATATGATTTGTGGGTCCAAATGGCATTAGTGTCGTGTTCCAACTTCTGTGGTAAGATTAGTTCTTTCATGTTTCCATTATTTAAATTTCTTATAGAATTTCTAAATTTATGATACATTCTTTTACATCAGTGCTTCTCTAGTTCTTTGATTTTATTATTCAATTTAGTTCAACAAACATTAATGGAACCCCTATTAAATGCAATGAATAAGGAATAGGGATAAACATTATGGTTTCTGGCCTTGATGTGCTGACAATTCAGTAGTTGATTTGAGAAAACCTAATGCTTAGTCTCAAGAAAAGCCTTGTTCTTTTCAAAATATTTACAAGTCTCTTCATTTATGATAAATATCAAATATAAATGTGTTTCCAAAATGTCTCTTTTAACTGTGTTTTGATAGCTTATTACATGCCTGTAAAGATTTAGAAACTAACCTATTAGCAAACTAATAAGAAAAAAAGCTGCTGAATTCTGTTGGTTATTCTGATAGTATAGTATATGTCTTACTTAATATAAAGGGAAAAATCTATTTTAAAAATATTTTTGATTTTAAGAAGAAGATCCATAAATATGTTAATCACTAACTTATAGTCTTCAAATTATAGCTCAATTTCAAGTAATAAAATAAAAATAAAATTTGAAAATATAAATGAGAAAGATCTACCTATATTTTTGGTTATAAATATATTGTACATATTATACAGTTCATAGAATAAATATATAATAGACAACATATACTATAATATTGAACTTTACTATTATTAATTTATTATGATTGAATAATATATAATATTCATAATATAGTACATAATACTACATATTTATATATGGTACAATAAAAAGGTTTTAAAATGCTTTGTTTCTAGCCTGAATATAAAAGTTTTTCTTTATCAAATAAAGTTGACTTCAGTGCTTATTTTCAAATGGTTTATTGATTTATTTGGTTTACTTCGACAGCTTTGAAATTGTATGAAGTAAAAATAATGATTAAAAAAACTTCCCCTCCTCCAGAGGTAGTACCTCTGTTTTACAAATAAGGCAACAGACTTACAGAGTTTTATCTACCCAAAGGTACACAGCTTGTAAATATCAGAGCCAAGATTCAAAATTCGAATGGCTCCAAATGCTGTGCTGTGAACCATTATGCTTAACAGCTGCTCAGATGGTAAAAGAGTGTATCACATGATGTAACATAGTATAGTTGTTACTCTCTAGAAGTAACATAACTTGTAAGAACAGTAAAAACTTAAAAACTTCAACTAAAGTATCTTCCCTGCTATTAAACATATATTTGTTACATAACCAGTACCCTATTCCTTATGGGAAATCCTTATTTTAAAATGTTTTGGAGATCTATTGTATATCAAAGTAATTACAACTTATAATGATGTATGATATATTTGAAAATTGCTAAGAGATTTTAAATGTTTCATTGCAAAAATGAGTATGCTAATAAATTTGATCTAATAATTCTACAATGTATAGAAATATCAAATTATCACACTGTGCCCCACAAATATGTACAACATTTGTGTGTAAATTAAAAAGAAAATAAACAAGTAAATGTGAAAAAATGGTCCTAGAGAAGTAACATTATTATAAATGTATCAGAACACATTTTGTCACATTAAAGCAGTCACAACTGTAATGGAAACCAACATCAAGGAAGGCTAAAGGAAAGAGAAAGTTAGTATCAGAGAAAATGAATAGAAAAACCTTTTATAAATTGGAAAGTATCTGATGCAAACATTATCTGCATCATAATGTTATCATTGACTTGTCCTAACACAATTCTGATATGAAGTGATCTACTCAGACTGTGTAAAGGTTAATGTTTTCCATGTAATCCTAGATGCTTATATCTTAAACCTAGCTTTAAATCGGTAATAGAAATAACTATGCATGCAAGTACATCCACACTGATACCCAGTTCCCCCATTTTTGACAAGTCTTCTTACCACTTCTTGAATGTACTCATTTTGTAATTTTTTAGAAAAAAAAAGGAAATTTAATATAATCCAATATCTTTTGGTATAATGTATTTCTTCAAATGTTCATGTAAAATTAACAAATATTAATGTAACATTAAGCCATATTAAGTATGTTAATAATTGTAAAGCACTGAAAATAGAGTCTAGAAATATTATTCCTAAATATTAATTATTAAATAAATGCAAATCTAAGTAATACAGTTAAATTTAGACTTATTTATTATTAGATTAGGTTAGCAATTAAATGTGTGGCCTACAGCACCATATTCCTTGACTTCAGATCCTAATGCCATTACTTTTTGTGTGATCTGGGCCAATTAATTCCTTTCTATAGGTCTGGGTTTTCTCATGTGCATAGTAATAGTACCTATCTCATAAGACTGTTTTAGAGATCAAGAAGGTTAATATATTTAAAACTCTCACAATAATGGCATACATATAGGAAGAACTCAATAAATGCTGTTTATGATAGAAATCACCATTATATGCATGTGCAGTTTATGATCTGACATTTTGTTCATGAAAATGTTGATAGGATAATTGGAATGCCTAAACCTTTCATGAATAGCCATGGTTTCCTTTGTATGTTACATCAGGCTCAATATTTAATGGGATTTTTTCACTTTTACTTTTAGCCAGTTACAATTGAAACCGAAGTAATGAGTTTTCCAACAGAACATGGACCTGCCCTAATGCCTACAACTCAATATTCATCAATGGTGAGTGAATTATATTACTAAATTGTGATCATTGAGAAGTTCACTATTGGGAGGAAGAACACATACATTTCATCACTTAAGAAATGTTCTAGAGGGGCTAGTATTATGGTATAATGGGTTAAGTCACCACTTGCCATCCAGAATCCCATAGCAGACTGTCAGTTCAAAGCTGGGTGTTCCACTTATGATCCAGCTTCTTACCAATGCACCTGGAAAGGCAGCAGATGTCCCAAGTAATTTGAGCCCCTACCACCAATGTGGAATGTCTAGATTTAGTTCCTGGATCCTCGCCTCAGCATGGCCCAGACCTGGCTATTGTAGTCTTCTGGGAGTGAAACAGTAGATGGAAGATCTTTCTTTGTGTGTCTGCCTCTCTCTCTATATACCTCTGCCGTTCAAGTAAATAAATAAATCTTTTAAAAATGCATTTTCCAAAAAAAGATATTTTCCACATGTAGCTTAAATTTAAAGACCTAGGTAGAATTTGTTTCCTTACAATAGTTAAGATGATCTCTGAGGAGTCTTAGAAGAATCATTCAAGATTAATTAATTAATTAATTCAATAATTTGCTAAATAAATACTATCCATAGCTATTTGGTCTCTTTACTTATTTCCCAAATAAATATTTACTGATTTTCAACATTTGACCCTTGTTGGATCTTCTTTCTTTGAAACTTTGTGTAACACTTTTTATGTAACTTACTGTTTTCCAGTTTCTCAGTTCTTGTTCCTTGGCATAATATAAGCAGCCTACATTTCCAACCTCATTTCCAACTCTCTCTCCTAGACTCTACTAACTGTGGCTACACCTAGGTCTGTTAATATTACATATGCTCTCACTCTCTCTGCCTTTCATCTTTTTTCTGTGCTTAGATTCCTCTTCTTTGCCTGAACAATTCTTACTTGTTCTTCAACATTCAGCCCAAATGCCTCTTCTCTTGTGAAGTCTTGCCTGACACCCTCAGGTAGAAAGAATCCATTTCTTCCGTATTGTAATGTGGCACTCTGTAAATATTGTCAAACAACTCATCACAGTGTATTCTCATCAATCAGTGCTGTTTTTTCTAATCAATATTCACAACTGGGCCGGCGCCGCGGCTCACTAGGCTAATCCTCCGCCTAGCGGCGCCGGCACACCAGGTTCTAGTCCCGGTCGGGGCGCCGGATTCTGTCCCGGTTGCCCCTCTTCCAGGCCAGCCCTCTGCTGTGGCCAGGGAGTGCAGTGGAGGATGGCCCAGGTGCTTGGGCCCTGCACCCGCATGGGAGACCAGGAAAAGCACCTGGCTCCTGGCTCCTGCCACCGGATCAGCGTGGTGCGCCGGCCGCAGCGCGCTGGCCGCGGCGGCCATTGGAGGGTGAACCAACGGCAAAAGGAAGACCTTTCTCTCTGTCTCTCTCTCTCTCACTGTCCACTCTGCCTGTCCAAAAAAAAAAAAATATTCACAACTGTGGCAACTGGCATTGTACCTTGAACATAGTAGGGACTTAATGCATGTTCAGTGGATGGACAGATGGATGGATGGATGGATGGATTCATAGATGGAGGGCCAATGTTGCAAAATAAGTCCAGGCCAGAAAACCATGAGCCAGTATGAATAAGCCAAGGCACTATTTGGTCTAATAGGTTTAAATGCATAGGACAAAAAAATTCCAACGCAATACTGATAAACACAGTGGATTCTGATGCTTTTATTCAGCAACCTCTGTCCTTTCTGTACAAAGAAGGAAACCTCATAGTACAGTCCCAATGAGATAGACTTATACACTCTTCTAGGATACAAATGCACAGGGTTCCTACTTCTAACATATTAGAATGTTGCAAAGTAATTAAATTTCTTCAGTCTCCCCTCCCACATTCACAAAGTGAATACCTTATATTTGCATACTTACTCACTTGCCAAGATCCTTTTGTTGAATGATTTCAAAAAATGGTTATCAAAGAATATATAAGTACAGAAAAATAAAATTATTTAACTACTCTGATAGGAACAACTTCATGGTTAATATCTAGAAAATTCTCACTTCCATTTCCACGTAAACTAACATGAACCATAATATTACATATTGAAGAATAATAAATCATTCTGTCTAAAAAGTTCAATTTTTAACTAATGTTCACATATATTGGCAATCTTCTTATTATATAATTTATAAAATTAATTGATTAGATAACAAAATGCAGTTGATTATGGTTCCTAGAAATCATACATTGTCAGTGTTGTCAGAAAATATTTGAGGGGCCAGCGCTGTGACGTAGCGGGTAAAGCTGCCACCTGCAGTGCTGGCATCCCATATGGGCGACGGTTCGAGTCCCGGCTGCTCCACTTCTGATCCAGCTCTCTGCGATGGCCTGGGAAAGCAGTAGAAGATGGACCAAGACCTTGGGTCCCTGTACCTATGTGGGAGACCCAGAGGAGGCTCCTGGCTCCTGGCTTCAGATCAGCACAGTTCTGGCCATTGAAGCCAATTGGGGAGTGAACAAGCAGATGGGAGACCTCTACCTCTGCCTCTACCTCTACCTCTACCTCTACCTCTACCTCTACCTCTACCTCTCCTTCTCTCTCTATGTATCCTTCACTTTCTTTTTATTTTTTTTATTTTTTTTTATTTTTATTTTTTTTTTATTTTTTGACAGGCAGAGTGGACAGTGAGAGAGAGAGACAGAGAGAAAGGTCTTCCTTTTGCCGTTGGTTCACCCTCCAAATGGCCCCCCGGCCTGGCCCCCTCGGCCGGCGCACCGCGCTGATCCGATGGCAGGAGCCAGGAGCCAGGTGCTTTTCCTGGTCTCCCATGGGGTGCAGGGCCCAAGCACCTGGGCCATCCTCCACTGCACTCCCTGGCCACAGCAGAGGGCTGGCCTGGAAGAGGGGCAACCGGGACAGAATCCGGCGCCCCGACCGGAACTAGAACCTGGTGTGCCGGCGCCGCTAGGCGGAGGATTAGCCTAGTGAGCCGCGGCGCCGGCTATCCCTCACTTTCAAATAAATAAGTAAATCGTTAAAGAAAATATTTGAAAGGTAGAAGGAAATCTCAAATTCTTCCTGCTAATTGGAAGCTATGCATTGGCAAATAGCCACATTGAAAGGAAAAATGTGGCTAAAAAATTTTAATTTGATTTATTCATATTTAATAGTTGAGTGATTAGGACCAAAAGGAATGTTGATTAAATTAACGTATAACTCAAAAAGTGTTGCCATCAAAGAGAACCAAGTTGACCACCTCCCTGCACACACCAAGTTCAAGAGCTATGGAAGCCAAGTAAGAGGGTACATTGCAATAAACAAGAAAGTGTTGCATGTCACCCCTGTGCCAAGAAACATGACTTGGAGAGATGTCTCCTACTTGGAAGAGGGAGAATCCCATTGCCATGCCCACTGTGATAAACTGTGAGATTGAGCACTCATTCCCCAGCCCCAAGGCCTATTCCCAAGGAGTAACTATTTGGAGCTTCAAGAGCCAGGTAGCCTCTCACACCTATCCTCCAAATGCCAACAGAAAGTAAAACTCTAACTCCATAGAAAGAACAGTAGAGAGAACTAAGGTGTATTTCTTGGAGGTCAGAAGTGAGCCCATGGTACTAAGACTCAGCACCAACAAAAGCCCAGAAGCCTCTAGCCCCAGGCTAGTTCTCACAGACTGAGCCTCTAGACTTGCCCTGCATCAAGCAGAGAGCTTTGCTCTGGAGTTGGACTCATTTTGGCATGTATCACTGCCAGTCTCTGGTGGGCTCGGCAGACACCCTGGAGATGGTAGGAGCCTGTGACTGGGATCCAGGTGTGACTACCCTGGGACAACTCTGAGTGGTGAGAGAGATGCCTTGGACAGAAAGCAAGGGGCAATGAGATTATGTACTGGGACTCAGTGCTGGGCTTTACAGCCCAACACTAGACAGATATTAACAGTATCTGTCCCAAGGCAGTGCATCTAAACAGAGTCTCTGGACTTGCCACAATATTTGTGCCCTGGTAAGACAGACTTATTTTGATGTTTATCACTCTGTGCCTCTTGCAGGCCTGGTGTGCAGTTAGGATTCTCCATGGAATTCCTTACTTCCTGCATCACAGCAGATTACTTTTCTTAGAGTCCCCTGAGTTTTATATCTAGATTTTCAACTAGTTTAATATTTCATTGAGTAATTTTCAAATGTACAAAAGTGACATTCACCTCTATGGCAACAAATAATACAGTTTACAGTCTCTCTTATTTTTATTGTTATGTTTAAAAAACAAATGATAGTTTATTTTTATCTACTTTTCGTAAACTCTTTTCTAACATTATAACTGGAAGTTTAATTTTTTTTATTTTTATTTTTGACAGGCAGAGTTAGACAGTGAGAGAGAGAGAGACAGAGAGAAAGGTCTTTCTTCCATTGGTTCACTCCCCAAATGGCCACTATGGCCATCGTGCTGTGCTGATCTGAAGCCAGGAGCCAGGTGTCTCCTCCTGGTCTCCCATGCAGGTGCAGGGCCCAAGCAATTGGGCCATCCTCCACTACCTTCCTGGGCCACTGTAGAGAGCTGGACTGGAAGAGGAGCAACTAGGACAGAACTGGCACCCCAATCAGGTCTAGAACCGGGGTGCTGGCGCTGCAGGCAGAGGATTAGCCAAGTGAGCCGCGGCGCCGGCCTGGAAGTTTAATTATAACCAGCAAGAAAAGATCAAAATAAATATTTAGTGTATAAGGGGCTGGCGCTGTGGCACAGCAGATTAAAGCTGCAGCCTGCAGTGCTGGCATCCCATATGGGCGCTGGTTCAAGTTCCAATTGCTCCATTTCCGATCCAGCTCTCTGCTGTGTATAAGCTAGGATTTTGCTGCATTCATAAGCTACATATATTGCCTGATTACTGCCTTCAAAGTTTGTGAGTTGGCATAAATCAATATGATCCTTTTAATTACTGGCATTTCCATTAGCAAAGAAAAATCATTACTAGTTGCATCTCAGTGGTTGCTTATGTAATCAATGGTTACTGAGGCTGCAGGAAAAAAATCATACAGTAA